AGGAAGGGATGCCATTCAGAGGGACCTCGAGAGGCTGGAAAGGTGGGCCCGGGTGAACCTGATGAGGTTCTACACAGCAAAGTGCAGAGTTTTGCACTTGGGCCGGAGGAATCCCAGGCATCCATACAGACTGGAAGGAGCGGTCCTTGAGAGCAGCCCTGTGGAGAAGGACCTGGGGGTTTTGGTAGATGAAAAACTTAATATGAGCCAGCAGTGTGCCCTTGTGGCTCAGAAGGCAAATGGGATCCTGGGCTCCATCAGAAGAGGGGTGGCCAGCAGGGACAGGGAGGTGATTGTTCCCCTCTACTCTGCTCTTGTGAGGCCCCATCTGCAGCACTGCGTCCGAGTGTGGAGCCCCCAGTACAAAAAAGACAGGGAGCTGTTGGAGAGGGTCCTGAGGAGGCCACGAAGATGATCAGGGGACTGGAGCACCTCCCCTATGAGGACAAGCTGAGGGAGCTGGGCTTGTTCAGCCTGGAGAAAAGAAGGCTGCGGGGTGACCTCATTGCAGCCTTTCAGTACCTAAAGGGAGCCTACAGAGGGGAGGGGAATAAACTCTTTGAAAGGATTGATAACTGCAGGACAAGGGGAAATGGTTTTAAGTTGAGGGAGGGGAGATTTAGGTTGGATGTCAGGGGGAAGTTCTTTACAGAGAGAGTGGTGAGGTGCTGGAACAGCTGCCCAGAGAGGCTGTGGATGCCCCATCCCTGGAGGTGTTCAAGGCCAGGTTGGATGGGGCCCTGGGCAGCCTGGTCTAGCATTAAATGAGGAGGTTGGTCGCCCTGCACGTGGCAGAGGGTTGGAGATTGATGATCCTTGAGGTCCCTTCCAACCCTGGCCATTCTGTGATTCTGTGATTCACAGAATCACCAACCAGAAGGCAACCCTGACATCACGATGTGCTGCGTGGGGGTCACCCCCCTGACCAGTAGGTCCTGCCATGCAGAAAGCAGAGGATGAATCTCTCATTGATTTCAGACTATCAGTTTTTTTTCCCAGAGCCAGAATGATCCACTGCGACATCACATCTCTTTATATAAGCACACACCTGTGTCTGCAAAGCCAGGATGCACAGCCTCTGCTCCAGACCTGAGCCACTTGCACAGCCATGGCAACAGCAGGCAACCAACCTGCATGAAATTGCATCTTCTCTTCCAGCTCATCAGTCCTCAAGTCAGCTCCTCCTGCTGCTGACAACGGCCCTCATGTCACCTTTGCCTGTTCTGAAAGCTCCTGCTATAGCTCAGGAATGTCAAAGAAGAGTGCTCAGCTCATTTGTCCAGAAAAGATTCAAAGATATTGGTTTGCACTATATAGAGAGGCCTTTCCTGGAGATGCAGCCCCCCTCCGAGGATGCTAAGGATGATGGTAACCCTGGGGATGGCAGCAGCAGCCCGAGCTGCTCCTGTGATGGCTTCAGGAGAAGTCCTGCAGAGGGAGCTTCAGTCCCGGGCAGGAGCTCAGCGCGGTGAGAAATCAGCTTCAGCACCTCATGTGTGCCTGGAGCCCTGCCAGCATCACTGCCTTCAGCCAGCAGAGCAGGTCCCACTGCACAGTGCCTGAGAAATGGAACTCCAACATCACTCTCTCCTCTGCTCCCCACCAAAGGTCATTCAAAGGCTGAGTGCCCTTTAACAAACTAACTTTGCTCCCAGCAAAACAGGCAGAGCTTGACCAGTCCTTGTTGGCACTGGAGCGTGATGCCAGGCAGAAACCTGGGACTGTTTTTTTTGTCAAATGGACACAGAGTGAGATGCATGCATCTGCGCTGCTCCAACCAGCTGTGTGAGTGCTCTCAGACTCCCACACTGAAAAAAAAAGCTCCTCAGCTCCTCCCACTCACACCAAGCATGTTGCTCTTCACTTCAAAGGAGCTCAGCACAGCTGATGATCCAGAAGCCCCTTAGGTCACAATGAAGTAATCGCCTGAGAGCATTTGTGCCCACCATGCAAAAGGAAGCACAGAGGAATGCTTCTGGTAGCATTCCTGGTTACTCGAAATCTGCATCTTGGGTTCCTTCCATATGTATTTTCAAACTACAACCCTCATTATGCATCACTGCCTCCCACGGCTGTGATGGTGACTGGCACTTCACTGCACAGAGAATCAGGGATGGGGTGCATCTTCAGCCCCAGCTCACCCCAATGGTCTCGGTCCACCTGGTGATGAGCACATGCTAAGAAGCCTTCAGTTGCATACAGCTGCCCCATCCTGCAATGCTCTGGGGCAGCAGCACAGTGATCCAGGCTGTCCTTTTGGCTTTGATTTGCTTAGCTGCCTTACTCCAGTGAAGGTTATCACCTGTGATGAGCTTGCATTCTCGGTCAGCCAAAGGAGCAGAGCAATTGCAAGGAAGTTGAGAGAAATTCAGCTGAGGTGTTATCAGATGCATCAGAGCTGCCTGCCCAAGCACTGAGTAGGCAGCAGGAACAACCACACTCAACCTGTGAGATCAGCCCTGCTCACAGCAACTGCCTGCATGTCACAAACCACTCCTTCCCCGTGGGCATCTGGCAGAAAAATCAGTTTTTTCAACCCAAAAAACACAGCAAAATTCTGTGCAGACTGTCACAGACCACAGACAGAGGCACCACCTCACCAGACAGAAGCTGACGAGGTGCAGCTTCTACAGGAAGGAGCTCCTTCCTTTGGCTTCTGTTGTTGCTCCATGGCCACGAGGTAAACACATTCTGCATCACTGCAGCACAGCCCTGCAACCACAGTGGTTCCACTTGGGCTGACCCCTTGAACACACTCTGTGTGAGAGCTCTGGGACTCTCCTCTCACTGCAAAGGCCGCTGTGTCCCACATCCTCCCTGGGCAAACAACTGCCCCACACTCCTGAGCATTCCACTGATTTCCACATTACAAAGTCCCACACCCATCCCCAAGTCACAGCTGGGTTACAGACAGGTGTGACCCAGTCTGGCTGCGTGCAGCACCATCCTCCAGCACACACAAGGCCCTGCTACCCCCTGCTCTCACCTTGCCATCTTCATGATAGACAAAGATGTTCCTTGTGCTATTGTCCTTCAAGTACGTGATCTGTAGTCCGTGTGGGTTCCCGATTTTTGCAGGCTGGAAAGTTGCATTTAAATGTTCAATCTTCATAATCGCTTTGGGTTCTTTTGCCTGGAAAACACAGCTGAGTGAGCAAACACCTGAGAATTGGCTTTTAAACCAGAAAGCAGTTTAGTGTGTCAGAAAAAAAACCTCACAATTGAGGGCAGTACCTGAAACACAATGCTCAGCTCACAGACCTGCCTGATGATAACAGAGCTGGGGCTTTGCTTGGGCACAATTGAATGCTTTCTGCCGACATGGCAAAACACTCTGCTGCTCTACAAAACTCAGCAAAGTTCAAGGAGATTTCAGATTTCAGCCCAGAAGCAAGATAGATAGGTCAGGTCTCAAAGACAGCAAGGATGCTGTGCTATGAGCAACTTCATGACTCGCAGGTAGCGTGGCAGCAGAGCAGGTAGCCTCAAGCTACTGGAGCTAATAGCAACTGAATCCAGTACAACCACTGCTGCAGCTGTGGTGGGGGCCTGAACTGCTCTCACAGCTCCACTGGAGCTGAAAGCTCCTAAGGCTGTGATGGAGGCATCATCCTCTCTGAAGGAGATCATTGGAGGCACCAGGGAAGAGCAAAAGGTCATAGAAAACACCTCAGCTCCACCCATTATGTGGTGCAGAACAGCAGAATGTCTATCCATTAATCACAAGGGCAATGTTCGTGGTAACAGCTCTGTATCTCCCTTCCAGTACATGAAATCTGCTCTGGGCAAAGGGATGAATGCTTCACTGCATGGCACCGAAAGAGGAAATCCTGAGGGCTGTGAGGTGCTGTCACAGGCAGCGTTCCCTCCCCCAGAAGGTACCCATGGGTACAAGATCCACGTCAGTTGGATCACACAGGGCCAGAGCTGAGAAAAATTCATGGTGGTGAAAGGAGAGCCAAGGGCAACACAGCGGGTGATGTGGGACGGCCGGTCAGCATCTTTTCACTGCAGTGACTGGGGACTGAGAGCACGTCCTGCACAGCAGGCGGCCAGCTGGGCTGCGCTCCACCCATCGAGAACACAGCACCTATGGAAACTCCTTGTGCACCAACACTCACAGCAGGACTTCCCACCCCCACAGCAGCCCCAGGAACTCACGTCATTCTTGTTGAAGTATTTCAGTGCACCTTCCCTCTCTGACAGCACAAACTTTCGGCTCAGGAACTGCCCGTTGTCCCGTCCTCTCTTCCACAGAAACCCTTCTCGGTACCCTGCGGACATTGAGCAGAGGGGCAGGGTGAGGAGAAGCAGAGCCACCTCCCGTCTGTCTGAGGCAGAATTACACACAAGTCCCATGGAAAAGGTGTTCCCCTTTCTGTGGCTTCAATCCTTTCAGATTTTTTGGCTCGGGCTCTCAGGAGGTAGGATTTTCAAGCTGTACATTTATAATGACTTACCAGTACTTCTTAACACGTGGAAGTGAGGATGTGCAGAAAACCCTCATCCAACCAGCTCTTCAGACAGCGGTCCATATGACACCAGTAATGCAGGATTCATTTTTAAAAACAGAATAAAAGAAGCACAGAAATCCCCCAGCCAGCCCTCAGTGCTCACTCTACAGTACAAACCATGTTTCCATGCCATAAGAAATGCACAAACACACAGAAACCACACACACACAAGTGCATTCAGCAATCAGGGCAGACAAAGGTAAGAGTGGCACAGACAACAGCTAACGATGCCAACTGAAGAGAAAGCACCTGTCTGGCTATCATGCCTCTGCTGACAGACAAAATGCCACTTTCTTTTGCCTGGATGTATGAAATCCTACGCCGAATGCTTTCTCCAGATCCTCAGAGACCTTTGCTGAATGTGAGGCAAAGCTGTCAACATCTGGCATCAATAAGTGCCATGGCAAAGCTCGTGCTGCTGTGAATGCTGGATGCCAACTGCTGAGAGCCTCACCACCACGGGCTGCACAGCAGGCTGCTGGGAGACAGCGCTGCCAAGGGGCTCATTGCTTGGTGCAGATGTAAGCAGTGGAAATATTTAAAGCTGTCAGCAGTCCTTCCCTTGGTTCTTTATTTAATATGGGCCATGCGTTGCAGCAGGGACTTCTTTTAAAGCATGAAGCCACACTGCTGCCTGCCCAGCCCTCCCTCTCAGAGCCCTGCAGTGCAGAACACACACCCTGGGTGCTCGGGGCGCTGGCACCCATTGGCAGCACTGCACAGACACCAGACCAGCAACCCGAGCACCAAAACCAGAGATGTCAGAGGCATTACATGGGCAGAGCCCTTCCCCTGCCCACCCAACCATCCTCCAGCCTTGGGAGAGATGCCACAAGTAGCACTGGTGAACTCAGCCAATCCATTCCACCCTACTCCAACTGCAAGCTTGTTTCTGAACAACAAAATACAACCAACCTCTGGGAAGGCACTCATAGCGTGAGAAAGAAACACACAGAGTGAGCAGAACCACCCTCAGTCTGAGCAAGGGGAAGCAGCAAAACCAGCCCAGGGCAGTAGCACAGGCTGGCCCCCTCTTATCACCACTGTGGCACAAATTCATTCCCCCAGTGTGGGGAACACCAGCATCTGACAGGTTGTATCAGCAGAACCACTGTGTGCTCAATAGTTGGCTGAAGATGACAGAGCTGAACAGGGATAAGGGCTGTACAACGTGGGGTTGACAGCAGGCAGATAGGCTGCAGGTCCTGCCAGGCTGATATGGCAAGATTTGCTTAATATGAGGGAGAAATGCTGCCAGGGCCCTGAAGGTAGGAAGCTCTTAATTGAAATACACTCACCTGAGTTAGCTCAGCTGAGCTCAGCTCTCAGCCTCACAGCAGCTCCCTGCACAAGCCATGCCTGCGGGTTGCCTTCATTCATTCATCCAGAGCACTTTGCTACAAGTATCCAAGTGGTACAGGGTGTAAGGATGCCCTGTTTCTCTTCTCTGCAATAAACTTATTGGTTTTCTCTTAACACTAAAGGGGTAGCGAATAGAACTCACTGCATTTCCCCAAGGAGCTGCAAATGTATGAAGTTCACTGAAAGCAAACCCTTGTGAGACTGGCACCCCAGTGGTTTCATATGAGAAGGTGGAAGCACAGAGAGGGTTGGAGATCCGCCCAGGGCAATACAGCGAGCCAGTGCCAAAGCCAGGCTGGAAACCAAGGCTTCCATACCCTCTTATGTACAGACACTTTCATCATTATGATCTCCTTTTTTTCCAGCCCTTTGAGCCAAAACACAGCATCTGAATTCCACTCTGTTCTCCTTCGGAGAAATTAGAAAAGAAAATAAGAATGCTGGCACTTTCCACAACCATTGCCTCTGCAAAAGAGCTCCTGGCTGCTCTCACAAAGCCAGCTGCTAATTTTGCTGTACTTTGGCACAGATTTCCCCAAATCCTTTGCTTGCTTCTTTTCTTTCTTTCTTCCTTCCTCCAGGGCTGTGTCCTCGGGAGCTGCTCCTGTGCTCTGCCCAAACTTGCTGCCTGCTCCCCTGTCAATGCTGATAAATGCAAACACAACGAACTGGACGTGAACCGAATGTGAACTCATCCAGCTTCCCCAGGCAATCAGTCAGCAAGACGTATCCTCAACATCCAGATCTAAAAGACGGTGCAAACAGCTAGAGAAGGTGTTGAGGAGCAGAACTGCAGGATGCTGGAGATGCCGAGCTCCTACAAAGCCCCTCCTCACCTCCATGGGCTGCCCTGCATTAGCAACAGCTTCCAGTTCAGAGCTACCTGGCCAAACCCAGACCTTCAGCAGGGCTGCACTCATGATGGTGAAGCAAAACAGCCAGCAGCACAGCTTCAGGGCACACAGCACTCCATCACCTGCAGGTGCAGAACAAAGGCTGCAGCCACCCGCTGGCACCGCGCTCAGCCACCAGCGCTCAGCCACCAGCACACAGCCATGACTGCCAAAGGATGCTTGGTGAAGGCCAGCACTCTTCAGGAATAACACCCCTGTGCTTGGGCCGCTTAGCATTGGGCAGTTCTGGCACAAACCTGGCTCGTAAAAAGGCCACCAAGCAGTTGTGACAAAGTTGACCAACAAATGGCACGCACATAACCAGAACTCACACCTCCGGAATGGGCATTTTTGTCCCACTGTGTCATTTCCAAGGTAAAATGAGGAACCACCATTTCTATATTCCTTTCATCACCCCAGCTTAAGCTCCCTGGGGGAAGGAAAACAGAATTACCACGCTGGTTGCCCAAAAACAAGATGGCCTTGTGCCAGCTGTGCTGAGTGCATGTCTGCAGCTCCTGGACCCTTCAGCTGCTTCAGCCTAACCCAGCTTTATCACAGTGCCACAGAGGAGGCAAGCGAGAGGATTTGCTACCAAGACAGTCTCGCAAAGATAGCACCTTCCCACCCGACTTCCTCCAGCAATTCGTTCAAGTTCCCTATTTTTAAGAAGAGGAATATCACCACTTCCCCACGTCAGTCCCCACGTCAGTTATGGCCAGTTGTTACTGATGGGGTTTTTGGTCCCTCTGTGCACGCGGATTATAGGAAGTACCCAAAATTACTCTTTCAGTTTCAGCCTTTGTTCTCAGAGAACAAGAAACCGCTCTGAGAGGGCGATCAGATCCACCGGCTGGAGAAAAGAACACATGCTTGGACTTTGCTTTCTCTCATCCCACATCAAGCATTCTAAACTTGGAATTAAACCCTATCTGCTCTCTGGTTTCTTTGGTGCTTAATCTGCTATTTCAGCTGGGAATGGAGGCAGCAGAACCACTTGTTTCCATGATTGTCACAGTGGTACAACCAGGCCTGGTGCAAGGCTTTGAGGAGAAACATTCACCAAAACCAGCCATAGTAAAAACATAGCACTACACCAAGGAACAAATGCATTACTGTGCTGTCTTTCTCTCCTGGTCTCACTGCCAGACAGAGCATGGAAGGCTGAAAGAGAGGGAAACATTTACTCATACTTGTAATCCAAGAGCAACTGCATTTTCCTCGAGTTCAAGCAGGGCACCTTCACCTCCAAAAATAGGTTCTTTTTCCTCTCAGCAGTCAGACAAAGTGCTCTGACCCCAACTCTGAGCTTTATAGACGAAGATTTAAACACAACTACATCACATCGCTTTGCTGCTAAAATTACAGGGTGCACATCACCACTTCTGCACGTCAGAAGCAGAGCCATCTGCTACATTAACAGCATAAGATGTTAATTAAGCCAGAACAGGAGATAGGAACTCACTGGAGATGATGTGCCAGCTCGTTCTGCAAGGTTAAGAAACAGCGTAATCATTTGGAGCAGCTGAGTGGAGAATCCCTGACACTGATGTCACAGCCTCCTTTTAGCACAATGAATATGAAGGATATTTCTTCAGAAATAAACCGTTTTGTCCACAATCAAGGAGCTGGACAGAGAGAAGGTGATGTGATCTGTGCTTTTCCAGTGGAACAGATTTCAAATAACATCGAAGGAAGAACTGTAAACCTCTTGTTTGGCTGCAACAGCGTAAATTGTTTGGTTTGATTGCTTTAAGCAATAGCATTTCTTTGTGCTCTGGAAGCACAAGCCTCAGCAAGGGGCAAATGGGCACCTGTTGAGTGACCCTGCAATGCAGACAGCTTCCCTGCTGCAGGAAGGGCACTGGGGAGGTAAGCTCTTGGTGGCCCTGTGTCGGGATGGGTGCCTGGCACATCTCACGTCCTGCCAAGTGGGAATTCTCCATTTTGCAGCACTGGCAGCAATCCCACCTTGGAGACACCTCTACAACCCCCCTTCAAGAGAAGACATCCCCACCCCATCACACACAGCCCGGGATCCAGCACGTGCTGACCCCGACCAGACACACACCTCTTAGAGGGGACAATTTCCCAGCTCTTAATCAATCAGTGCTCTCCTCCTAATGAGCACTTAGTATGCAAATTACCTTTCCTAACAGGCCATTTTGCAGAGAAAGGTTTCTTGTTGCCATCCAGTCTGCCTCTGCTGCCATCCAGGAGCTCATAAAACAATTACTGCCCTGCTGCATTGTAGTGCCTCAGTTATGGATGCAAGCAGCTGATTAGATTGATTGCTTCCACAATACCCAATTAACCCACTCACTCTGCAAGTGATTGACTTAATCAAAGGCAATTAGCGCTTGAATGGCTACATCACACACAAAGCCGGGATTTAGGAGATGATTGCGATAACACTTACAGACCTCAGGTTGGCCTTGCAGGGGAAAACATCACTATTAACGTCCAACTCAGTGTTGGGTACCTGAAACCATAGGTCGGTGGTTT